TTGAGAGGTGATTACATTTTGTTCATTTTCATGGTTTCCTCCTTTCTGTTGGAATTCTGTTGCTTCTTGTGGATTTCAATGGCTTCTCTGTGTAGTCTGACATGGTGGTTGTTGGTGTGGTCCAGCATTCCTGTGTTCTCAAATAATACGCTGTGTCTTGAATACCATTCTGGGAGAAAGGCAGGGGATTATTCCAATAAATAAATAACCCAGTGGGGCTTTTTGATGCCATGGGTCCAGTGATGCAAATTAACCGTATTAATAACTCTAATAAAGGAAATTGTGATGAGGCACGAACTGGGAAGAAGGATCACACCAGGCTTCCATCTGGAGAAACTCCACGAGTCTGACTGCTCCTTATATATGGTGGAAGCTCTTAAACGACACCACTTAAATGACAAATGGATTAAAGAGCGTGAAGGGTCGTTCGTCTTAATATGATATGTCATTTAGCATCGTGTTTGCCCAGCTGTTCCATGGAGATAAAAATGTTTAGCCAAAATAATTGGTTTCGTTATTGAATTTCAGTGCTGTTCTAACATATGCAGCTTCACTTTACAAAACAGCAAAAAAAGGCAGACATGCGGCACTGCATTTCGTCTCGTGAAGCCAGAAGCACTGATCGAATACATTTGCCATATGGCTGAATTTGACCCAAGCAGCTCGGGTTTCGGCCGGTCTTCTCTCTCAGGAAGAGCAGTTCCCTATCAGGAAAATTGCAGCAACGTTGTTCTGTCGCACGCTGGGCTGTAAAGAATTTCCTTTAGAACAGGACGTGCATCTTTTGACCAGCGGGAAGCCACGGGGCCCAAGGAGAAGTTCTCAGAGGCTTTCCACCACAAATAGTCTTTAGATGGATTGTGAAGTATAACAAAGTCCTTTATTAATGAACAATCAAACAGACACTTCTCTTGTCTTCAGAAAGTTAAACAAATAATTCCAGGCTTTAATGCAACTGCTGGCTTCCTAATCTTGCCCACGAAGGACAGGCAACTGTCTTCAATAACTTCTTCTTTACTTTAAATGGAAAATCCCTGTTGCAACTCCGAGCAGGAAACGAGACCCTAAGATAACCATCCACCACACTTGACTGTAGGAAAAACAATCCCTTTTTATTGATGAAAAATGGTTACAAGATAGAGGAAAATGCAAAGTCAAAAAGCCACAGTAAAAATCAGCAATCAGAAATTTCCATGAACTAGATCAAAAACCAAAAGCAACACTGTAAAATCCTGGAACCTGTTAGCAATCCACTAACCGTGCTTGGAGCACTAGAAGCCTCTTGGGATGAAGGCCATGGGAAACGGGAGATCTGCCAAGGGAATGCCTCCGTCTAAAATGATGCCTGATCTAAAGAGTCAACCGGCGGGAGGCACTTAAAGCCGAGGAAACTGTTTCGTGACACGCCTCCAGGCTTTGAAGCCCTTGTTTCTTTTTCTTTTGATCTGCTTGACCTTCGCAGACTCTGCGATTCACCCCTGTTTTTCCAAATCTGTCCTCTTCTATCCTCATTAAGGATCCCAGGTGTTAGCTTCTCTGGAGAGCTATCACCGCTTGGCTCTGCAACATTCTCATGAGAATGTGTACTTTCACTTTCCAAGCCTTCCAAGCCTGCAGGGGTTTCTTCTACACTGACCTCAGAATCAACATTTTCATTAGCATCAGGAAATACAATCAGAGAATCAGGTTCAGGTTCACACCCAGGCTGAACCCCAACAATCCCCTTTTTAACTTCTCCCAGACTGACTGTAATCTAACCCTTACTGATGTGGGCTCCGCTACCAGGTCGAACTGCTTCTCGAATGCCGAGTGGACCTACCAGTAAAGGCTTAGATGCTCTCCAGCTGGAGTTCTTTGGTCTTTATGGCTGTTTCCCTGGAAATCTTTGGAGACTCTTAAGACTGTTCTCCCCCAGAAAATCCTCAAAGCTTTCGGGAGGCTTCCCTGGAGTTCTCTGGTTTGCTCTTAAGACTGTTTCCCCCCGAAAAATCTTAAGGGTTGAAGCTTTTGTAGAGGGGAAGCTTGCACACGTCCTGTACATTAGCTTTCCTCGCTGAGACTAACTAAAAATGGCTTCCTTCCCTTCCCAATTGCCCTGAGCAAAGGGCGGTTCCAAAACATAACGATGATGGACAGGTGACTTGCCCTACGACTGCAACCGAAGGAAGCCACCTATCTGCAGAGTACATAAAGAGTACATTATGGAGTTTTGTCTAGCACACTGGCATAGAAATTTTTCATGGTTCCTTACACTGGATTATTGTTCTGTTGCCAGAATGCCAGGCATCGCACTTCAAGCACGCTTCCAACAGAGAGGGAGAAAGGCCATTCTTGACAAGGAATGGTTCTGTTGCTCATAGATATTGATTCTGGCAAAGACACAGCCCTTGCTTTGTAAATGATAAGACAGTTGAGGACATGCTTTTTCTCGCAAGCAGTGATTCAGTCAGGGCCAAGAGAAAGGCGGTGTGACAAGAGCAGGAACCAAATGCCCAAATGTCTTTTTGTTCACTTTACAGTTTGTGTACATGGACTTCTGAAAGTATCTCCCCTCTACAACACTGCCAATCCGCTCCAATTCTTTTCTCCAGCAGTTATAAGAATCCTCAGTTCTTGTGGGTAGTTATAAGAATGTTAGATAGAGGAAATGGTTGAATTAAGTCGTAAGCACCCTCCTCTGGTTTCCTTTTTCCCATGTTGTTAGATGTGTTAAACTGGAAGAGGAAGAAATTTGGATAGAGGAAGGAAACATCCATTTACTCTATGTATGAGGGTTATTCAGAAAGTTAGGTAACAAGGTACGTAGCTCTCGCAGGGAGTTTTCTCGGGGGAAGTTGGTATCGCGGGAAGCCAGCGGAAGCAAACGAGCAGTGCCAGTCGTCAGTAGCTCATCGACTGGCATTGTGGTGAAGGTTAGGGATGAGCATCCTCATTCCATTTCCCTCCAAGTGCAAAGTTCTTAGCTCTTTCTCTCCCAACTCTCCAGCAGTTGTAAGAATGTTAGGTAGAGGAAATGGTTGAATTAAGTTGTAAGCACTCTCCTCTGGTTTCCTTTTCCCCCATAAAATTACTTCAGAGTGTTAGATGTGTTAGACTGGAAGAGGAAGAAATGTGGATAGAGGAAGGAAACATTCATTTACTCTATGTACGAGGGTTATTCAGGAAGTCAGGTAACAAGGCACGTAGCTCTCGCAGGGAATTTTCTCAGGGGAAATTGGTATGCGGAAGCAAATGAGCAGTGCCAGTCGTCAGTAGCTCATCGACTGGCATTGTGGTGGTGGTTAGAGATGAGCATCCTCATTCTGTTTCCCTCCAAGTTCGAAGTTCACGCTGTACGAGGGTTATCCAGAAAGTAAGGTTACAAGGTACGTAGCTCTTACAGGGAATTTTCTCGGGGAAAGTTGGTATCATGGGAAGCCAGCGGAAGCAAACGAGCAGTGCCAGTCGTCAGTAGCTCATCGACTGGCATTGTGGTGAAGGTTAGGGATGAGCATCCTCATTCCGTTTCCCTCCAAGTGCAAAGTTCACGCTGTATGAGGGTTATCCAGAAAGTAAGATTACAAGGTACGTAGCTCTTACAGGGAATTTTCTTGGGGGAAGTTGGTATCATTGCCGTGTAACAGGAAGCCAGCAGAAACAAATGAGCAGTGCCAGTTGTCAGTAGCTCATCAACTGGCATCATGGTGAAGTCTGACATGGTGGACAAGTCTCCATAGGGACCACCAAACACAGCACAACAACAGAGAGGAAACAAACAAGGACATCTAATCACCTCTCAACAAAAGTTTGCTCTATTATTTATTTATTTATGTACTTTGCTTCTATACGGCTGTATCTCAAGCCCGAAGGCGACTCACAGCGGTTCACAAACAGTAAAAACAGTAGAAACAGCAGTGGTTCCATACAACATATAACAATTGACTTAACACATTATCCATAAATTACCAATAAGCCATTACAATGCACAATTATTACAAAAAACAACCGTACCCAATCTTCTCATCATCCAAGCGTAGTCCAGGTTCGTCGTCCCTTGTTCCATTCCTATGTTCCATTACCAGATTGCACTAAATTACTCAAACGCCTGCACAAACATCCAGGTCTTCACCTTTTTGCGGAATACCATTAGAGATGGTGCTAGTCTAATGTCCGTAGGAAGGGCGTTCCACAGCCGGGGAGCCACCACCGAGAAGGCCCTATCTCTCGTCCCCGCCAGCCGAGCTTGAGAAGCAGGCGGGATCGAGAGCAGGGTCTCCCCGGAAGATCTCAGAGTCCTGGTGGGTTCATAGGCAGAGATGCGGTCAGATAGGTAGCTGGGCCGGAACCGTTTAGGGATTTAAAGGCCAACGCCAGCACTTTGAATTAGCCCGGTAGCAGATCGGTAGCCAGTGGAGTTGGCGCAACAGGGGGGTTGTATGCTCCCTGCGCTCCGCTCCTGTTAAAATCATGGCTGCCGAGCGTTGGACTAGTTGGAGCTTCCGAGCTGTCTTCAAAGGCAACCCCACGTAGAGAGCGTTGCAGTAGTCTAAACGGGATGTAACCAGAGCGTGGACTACCGTGGCCAAGTCAGATTTCCCAAGGTACGGGCGCAGCTGGCGCACAAGCTTTAGCTGTGCAAATGCTCCCCTGGTCACCGCCGAAACCTTGGTATGCTAATCAAGGTGGTCAGTTGAAACATTCACACCTAGCTCCAGCAGACAAAAGTCCTTTGTCTCACCCTGGTCATTCCACAGATATATAAACCCATTTTTCCTACTTCCAACAGACCTCACTACCTCTGAGGGTGCTTGCCATAGATGCAGGCGAAACGTCAGGAGAAAAATTGCCTCCAGAACATGGCCATATAGCCCGAAAAGACCTACAACAACCCAGTGATTCCGGCCATGAAAGCCTTCGACAATACGAAATCTAAGAGTTCCATATACTGCATTTTGTGATTGTTGAGGACATCTCCAAGTCCTTTCATGCTTGGCCGTGACAATATCCTTGGTGTTTTTCAGGTTACAAAAACATTCAAAGGAAACGTCATTTGAAATGAATGAAAGTCAAGGAGTGAAGGAAGGAGCCACACCGCCCTTTCAAAGTAAATGTCTTCTTGAAAGCTGCTCTTCAATTTAAAAAATCATAATCTTACATTCAGAATAGAAAGCAAAGTGAATTTAACATCTCATGCTCCATGTTGCAGATGTGTTCTACTTTTGCTGTAAAATTCTAGATAGTGTATTCCTGGACTCTTGCTTTTGTTTGATTCCTGTTTTAAGTGCCTTTGCTGTTAATTGCTTTTGAAATCAGGCATCTAGTTTCATGGACTTCTTTGGACTAATTGCTCCTTTTTCTTCCTAATCAATTGGATTTACCTTTTGCTGTGGATTACTTTTTATTGCTTTTGGCTTTTATTACCTTCAATAAACTGCTTGCTATTTAAAAAATAAATAAATTTCTAGATAGTGTATTTTTAGCTTAGAACCTTCTAGCCTATATCCTGATCTAGAACACACCAACCTAGACCACAGTGGCCTAGAATCTAACCAATAACATTCTAACCTCAAACTGAGAATATTTTTCATGTGGTAGTCTGAAAAGATAGGCCAAGGAAAGTGCTCTTCTCAGAACCTTCTAACCTAGAGCCTTCTCATCTAGAGCACCATGACCTAGAACATCCCAACTTAGATCAATACAATCTAAAACAAAAAAAATTCTTTGTGCGTCAATCCAAAAAGCAAAAAGCAAAGGAAAGAAAGAGATAGAGAAGGAAGAAAAGGGGAGAAAGAGGAAGGAAAAGAAAAAAGGGGAAGGAAAGAGGTAGAGAAGGATGAAAGGAGAGAAGGAAAGAAAAAAGGAAAGGAAGGAAAGAGGGAGTGAAGGAGGGAGGGAAAGGAGAAAAAGAGGGAGGGAAGGAAAGAGGGAAGGTTGGCCACAGCAATGCGTGGCAGGTACAGCTAGTTCAACATTGAAAGGAAGCAATGGAGCGGAGGGATGATTTATTGTTGCCACCAATTTAAAAGGAACCAGTATTCAGGAGATTCTACCCCAGTTCCCAATTTTAAAAAGACTTAGCCGATTTGCAATGGAGGTTGCCGATTAGGAACCAAATTTACCATCAAGATGGAAGGAAGGCTGTTCAATTGCACCTCCTCCTTTATTAAGAAAGTAATAACTTAGTAGTAATTACACTGTATATACTGTAGCGTGACTGGAGAGAAGAAGGTAGATTTATTTGATTACTTTTCCCTGCGTTTCTGCCACCACGTGAGGTAAGTTGTAATATTGTGAGAAATGGCACTTTGGACACAGAATAGACGGAGCTGAGGCAATCTTCAAATAAAAGTTAACAATTTTATTAAGTACACAGCGTGTGGTTGCAAGATGTAACTTTTCCTTGTTGCACTTGGAATAATACTTGTAACTTTAACAGTTCATTCTTTCAAGTAACACAGTATCTTTCTGACGTAGAGCACTTGTTTCAGACAAAGTTTCAATACAGGGATGTTTCCCTTAGTTGATCCTCCCTAGATCAAATACTGAGTAAACTATTCTTTAGCCTCTCCTTTGACTAAAAGAATACCAGCTCTGTTTCACCATTCGGCTGCACTAGCCTGAGAAACTTCCAATAGCCAAACCCAGCTTTTCAAAGCCTCAAAGCTTTGCTTCACAAGTCACTCCGCCACGTTTCCTTTCCTTCTCTCCCAACTCCTAACTCCTCACTCCTCTGAACCTAACTCCTGACTCTCCTGAACCTAAACCCGGACTGCTCACACCTCTAAACCTAAACCCCCACTGATTTTTAACTGTCGTTTTTTCAAACTCTCCTCTCTAAGCTCCTCCCACTTCCCTCTCTCCTGCATCGGTCTCCATGGCAACGCACATGGAGGACTCCTCTGACTTAGGCCGCTCCAGCACTACTGCAGCCAATCCAAACACAAATACAGTTAAAATCATACAATTTATAATCAACTCCTGTACAAACATATATTCAAAACTCAGCGAGACTGGGTCTATTGACAGCGAGATATTAACAAGTCCGTATTCTCTTCTTCATATTGGCAGATAGCGAAGAAATAGCCAGTGTGCCTGGAAGAGTTCAAGCAGAGAGGACGTGCCGTAATTCCTGGGAAAGCGCTCTCTGGGCAGCAGTAAAAGACAACTTAACACAACATTTAAACTACAGCAGTGTTTTCCCAGAAAGCTTCCCTTGCAAATTTAATTACGCACACAAAGAATTCCTTATGCGGCAATACAATCTTCAGCCCGGCAGATGCAAACCTAACGAGTGTGCGACAAATGAAGAAGCAGGTACCTTCGAAAAGGCCTGTCCTCTTGAATATTATGAAGTGGCCATTCTTGGTAAGCAACTACTGTCTCCCAAAAGTAGAATTCAGTTGTAGCGACCCCCAACCATAACATTATTTTCATTGCTACTTCAGAAGTGTCATTTTGCTACTGTTGTCCCGTGATATGAGATTAGGTCTCTGATTGGAGAGAGCTAAGGAGACGTTAATGCAGTGGTTCTCAACCCTCCTAATGCCGCAACCCCTGAATACAGTTCCTCATGTTGTGGTGACCCCCAACCATCACATTATTTTCGTTGCTACTTCAGAACTGTCATTTTGCTACTGTTGTCCCGTGATATGAGATTATGTCTCTGATTGGAGAGAGCTAAGGAGACGTTCTAGAGCAAACTTGCGCAACATAACAAACTTTTAAGTACTGATCAAGTTTTTCGGGGTTAAAAAAAAGACAACTTTCTCTTACACAGGGATAAATCACGACATCGCTGTAAATGTGGCTTTCCTTCCCGTATGTTCTGAAGACTCCCATTTATGCCGTGGAAAAGGCACATCCAGTTCTGTAGTGTTGACTCACCCAAGTGGTACTTCATCCCAGCAGGAGAGGATTGACAGTGAAGGGCCTTCTGAAATATTTCCGCTTGCAGGTAGGAATTTCTTGATGATGATGATGTTGGCATTGGTGATTTTCTTGTGGCAGTCATAAAGTTTGTTATGAGAGTTGAGGTTAATTCCTAACACCAGCTGTTAGGAATTGTTGAAGTCCAAAACACCCAGAGGGCTGAAGTTTGTCCATGCCTGCATGAGGTGCTTCTGAACTTCTGCTAATGGATGGGAGTTTTTCAAGAGAGAAATACTCAAGGTGCAATTTCAAACAGTGCCAACAAAGAGAAAAAATAGGACAAGTGCAAAGAAGCCAGAATGGATGTCCAAAGAACTTCTAACTGTGCTAAGACACAAAAGAGACATGCACAAGAAGTGGAAAAAGGGAGAAACCACCAAAGAAGAATTCAAACAAATAGCCAACTCCTGTAGGGAAAAGGTTTGCAAGACTAAAGCACAAAACGAGCTCAGGCTTGCCAGGGACATTAAAAATAATAAAAAGGGCTACTTTTCTTATGTCAATAGAAAAAGGAAGAACAAGGAGGCGATAGGGCCTCTTTGAGGAGAAGATGGGGCAATGCTGACAGGGGATAGGGAAAAGGTAGAACTACTTAATGCCTTCTTTGCCTCAGTCTTCTCACAAAAAAAAAGTCATCCTCCAAGACTAGAACAGGCCCCTTTAAGGCAAACCTAACCTAAGATGGTTGTGTGACTTCTTGCCACCTGGGGGAATCCTTTGTTGGGAGAAGATATTGATACCAATTCCACTCTCTTGTTTTTTGCCCAGTAGATGTAGTAGTCAAAGCCACCGCTGACCTGGAGAAACAACATGTCATCTGCATCCTGGACATCTGTTCTTTAGGCGAAGATAAAGTTGAGGTCTTTCTGAACAGAGTGTACGACGTTACCGACGTCAACGTAGCAAGCCAAGCATACCTGATGAACGATGCGGCGTCTGTACACTGAAGAGGAATTAGCGTGTATCACTGCATTTTTTTTCGAGGAAAGCTTTGATCCTTAGCCAGCAACGTTGCAAAAGGAAGTCCCTGATCATGGGCACCGAGGAAGGTGCGTTTCTGTAAAAAGGTACATTGCCGAGTTGCTAATCATGACACTTTTCTGTGAGCGTTGGGTTGTAAGAGAGGTCAATCGCTGTTCTCTGTGAATAAATCTTTGCACAGGTGGGGGAACAAAAGAATTTGGCTTCGTCCTGATGTTACTTAATTGGTAGGCATCTGAGCTTGATGGTATTTCCTAACTTTTATCACAATTGTGAATTCTCTGGGTGATTTTTTTTTTTTTTTTTGTATCACTGAAGTGAAATGAGGCCGGTCAGAAAAAACAGCTAAAATTAGGTTGTCCCGTTTTTGTCTTCTTGCTGACGAACGGAAGGAGTTGGGAGAGGAACAAAGGAAACGTGTTAGGTTTCCGAACCTTCTCTGCGATCTCCTGGTTTCTGGAAATGACTGGCGGTATTTTCTTTCCGTTGCCCAGCCCTTTTGTTTGCTGTGCCAAACGTGAAAATAATTATGCTTTGTCAAATCGCTGGGTTGTTGTGAGTTTTCTGGACTGTCTGGCCATGTTCCAGAAGCATTCTCTCCTGACGTTTCGCCCACATCTATGGCAGGCATCCTCAGAGGTTGTGAGATCTGTTGGAAACTAGGCAAGTTGGGTTTATATATCTGTGGAATAATGTCCAGGGTGGGAGAAAGAACTCTTGTCTTCTGGAGGTGAGTGTGAATGTTTCAATTGGTCACCTTAATTAGCATTTGGTGGCCTAGCAGTTTCAAGGTCTGGCTTCTTACTGTTTGGGGGAATCCTTTCTTGGTAGGTGATTAGGTGACCCTAATTACTTCTTACTGCCCGGTCGAATTGTTTGTTGGGAGGTGATTAGATGGCACTGATTGCTTCTTACTGTATGGGGGAATCCTTTGTTGGGAGGTGATAAGGTGGCCCTAATTACTTCTTACTGCCCAGGGGAATCGTTCGTTGGGAGGTGATTAGGTGACCCTAATTACTTCTTACTGCCCAGGGGAATCCTTTGTTGGGAGGTGATTAGATGGCACTGATTGCTTCTTACTGTATGGGGGAATCCTTTGTTGGGAGGTGATTAGGTGACCCTAATTACTTAGTCACCTCCAGGGGAATCCTTTGTTGGGAGTTGATTAGATGGCACTGATTGCTTCTTACTGCATGGGGGAATCCTTTGTTGGGAGGTGATTAGGTGACCCTAATTACTTCTTACTACCTGGGGGAATCCTTTGTTGGGAGATGATTAGGAGACCCTAATTACTTCTTACTGCCCAGGGGAATCCTTTGTTGATTAGGTGATCCGAATTACTTGTTACTGTCTAGGGGAATCCTTTGTTGGGAGGTGATTAGGTGACCCTAATTACTTCTACTGCCCAGGGGAATCCTTTGTTGGGAGGTGATTAGGTGGCCCTGATAGCTCCTTACTTTCTGGGGGAATCCTTTGTTGGGAAGTGATTAAGTGACCCTAATTACTTCTTATTGACCAGGGGAATCCTTTGTTGGGAGGTGATAAGCTGGCCCAGACCTTGAAACTGCTAATCAAGGTGGCCAATTGTGACATTCACACCTACCTCCAACAGACAAGAGTTCTTTCTCCCGCCCTGGACTTTCCACAGATCTTTAAACCTAATTTTTCTAGTTTCCAACATACTTCACAACCTCTGAGGATGCCTGCCATAGATGCAGGCGAAACGTCAGGAGAGAATGCTTCTGGAACATGGCCAGACATCGTGGAAAACACACAACCACCCAATAATTATGTTGCCAGTTGCTTTTTGATATGATGTGCCTCTGCCCTGCAAGCTGGCCATTTCCAAGCAAAACATTCAAATGAGAATTTATCATTTGACTCCTTCTGTAGAAAATGGAAATGAAGCGAAGCTGCAGTTGATGCAGAACTCGTGGTTAGCTCAGCGCCGGGAATTTTTCAGACAACGCCTGCATTGCACTTATAAATATTACATTTATTTTTGTATAAATTTCAGTATTCAAAAGAGTGTACATAACTGGGTATTTTATACTGTGTTTTTCTGTATTACCTTTTGAATTTTGCGTGTATGTTTAGGCCGTTGTGCTGTTTTACTTGTTTAAATATTTTACAGATTATGATGATAACATAACAAAAAAAAAATAAGAATGGCCTTTTGTGTTTCTGGGGCAGAGTTCCTTTAATAAAAGTTCATAATGCAAAACATGTTGCATTATTAGTGCAGTGTCTCTCAACCTTACTTCTCAACTGTCATTTTGCTACTGTTGTCCCGTGATATGAGATTAGGTCTCTGGTTGGAGAGAGCTAAGGAGACGTTAATGCAGTAGTTCTCAACCCTCCTAATGCCGCGACCCCTTAATACAGTTCCTCATGTTGTGGTGACCCCCAACCATCACATTATTTTCGTTGCTACTTCAGAATTGTAATTTTACTACTGTTGTCCCATGATATGAGATTAGGTCTCTGGTTGGAGAGAGCTAAGGAGACGTTAATGCAGTGGTTCTCAACCCTCCTAATGCCGCGACCCCTTAATACAGTTCCTCTTGTTGTGGTGACTCCCAACCATCACATTATTTTCGTTGCTACTTCAGAATTGTAATTTTACTACTGTTGTCCCATGATATGAGATTAGGTCTCTGGTTGGAGAGAGCTAAGGAGACGTTAATGCAGTGGTTCTCAACCCTCCTAATGCCGCGACCCCTTAATACAGTTCCTCTTGTTGTGGTGACTCCCAACCATCACATTATTTTCGTTGCTACTTCAGAATTGTAATTTTACTACTGTTGTCCCATGATATGAGATTAGGTCTCTGGTTGGAGAGAGCTAAGGAGACGTTAATGCAGTGGTTCTCAACCCTCCTAATGCCGCGACCCCTTAATACAGTTCCTCTTGTTGTGGTGACTCCCAACCATCACATTATTTTCGTTGCTACTTCAGAATTGTAATTTTACTACTGTTGTCCCGTGATATGAGATTAGGTCTCTGGTTGGAGAGAGCTAAGGAGACATTAATGCAGTGGTTCTCAACCTTCCTAATGCCGCGACCCCTAAATACAGTTCCTCATGTTGTGGCGACCCCCAACCATCACATTATTTTCGTTGCTACTTCAGAACTGTCATTTTACTACTGTTGTCCCATGATATGAGATTAGGTCTCTGATTGGAGAGAGCTAAGGAGACGTTAATGCAGTAGTTCTCAACCCTCCTAATGCCGCGACCCCTTAATACAGTTCCTCTTGTTGTGGTGACCCCCAACCATCACATTATTTTCGTTGCTACTTCAGAATTGTAATTTTACTACTGTTGTCCCATGATATGAGATTAGGTCTCTGGTTGGAGAGAGCTAAGGAGACATTAATGCAGTGGTTCTCAACTTTCCTAATGCCGCGACCCCTAAATACAGTTCCTCTTGTTGTGGCGACCCCCAACCATCACATTATTTTCGTTGCTACTTCAGAACTGTCATTTTGCTACTGTTGTCCCGTGATATGAGATTAGGTCTCTGGTTGGAGAGAGCTAAGGAGACGTTAATGCAGTGGTTCTCAACCCTCCTAATGCGGCGACCCCTGAATACAGTTCCTCATGTTTTGGTGACCCCCAATCAGAACATTATTTTCGTTTATTTTTTATTTGTCGTGTCAGGGCAACCAGTCAATTATATTACATTTCTAACAGAACAAAGCAAACAAACAGACAAAATACAAAATTTGTGATTTTGGTAGTTGATTAAATGTCCTTTGACCAGTATCTGGCCACTTGGAGTGCCTCTGGTGTTGCTGCAAGAAGGTCCTCCATTGTGCATGTGGCAGGGCTCAGGTTGCATTGCAGCAGGTGGTCAGTGGTTTGCTCTTCTCCACACTCGCATGTTGTGGACTCCACTTTGTAGCCCCATTTCTGAAGGTTGGCTCTGCATCTCGTGGTGCCAGAGCGCAGTCTGTTCAGCGCCTTCCAAGTCACCCCATCTTCTGTGTGCCCAGCGGGGAATCTCTCATTTGGTATTCTGGGTTTGAGCCTGCCACTTTTGGACTCTCGTTTGCTGAGGTGTTCCAGCGAGTGTCTCTGTAGATCTCAGAAAACTATTTCTAGATTTAAGTTGTTGACGTGCTGGCTGATACCCAAACAAGGGATGGGCTGGAGATGTCTCTGCCTTGGTCCTTTCACTGTTGGCTGCTCCTTCCCGGTAGATGTCAGGTGGTGCAATGCCGGCTAAGCAGTGTGATTTCTCCAGTGGTGTAGGGCGCAGACACCCCGTGATAATGCGGCATGTCTCATTAAGAGCCACATCCACTGTTTTAGTGTGGTGAGATGTGTTCCACACCCGGCATGCATACTCAGCAGCAGAGTAGCACAGCACAAGGGCAGATGTCTTCACTGTGTCTGGTTCTGGTTGTGATCCCCAGGTTGTGCCAGTCAGCTTTCGTATGAGATTGTTTCTAGCGCCCACTTTTTGCTTGATGTTCAGGCAGGGCTTCTTGTAGGTCAGAGCATGGTACAGAGTGACTCCCAGGTATTTGAGTGCACTGCAATGCTCCAGTGGGATTCCTTCCCAGGTAATAATCCTCAGAGCTCGGGATGCTTGTCTGTTCT